CAACCTTAACTCACTTCTATGTCAATTCATAAAGACTAGTGAGTATCTCGTGGGTTCTTTGAGAAGAAAATTCAAGAAAATAATTACCGAGCACTCAAGAGAAGATCTGTCACATGGCAAGCACGCCCAAGCAGTAGCTGTCTGTTATTATCTATCGCATTCTTCGCTGAAAGTACGTGGAACTTAAATACGCAATGCTTGTTTTAGAACTTGATCTTATGACTTTGAATTTTTACCAAAATCTTTCCCCTTAATATATCATATTTTAGTGCCTCTAGGACAAAGATCAAGTTCTCCTTTATATTCTCTTTATCCCAGCAGGATGTCTTGAAATCATATTATGGAAAGGATGCTTTAAATGAAGCCTTTTATAGAATGCAGAATTCATTACATATGTTGGCCTATCATAAGATAGATTCCTGTGAGGGAAAAAGTTCTTCTTAAATAGATCTTTACTTTTGAAAAGGAATGATGCAAAGTTAACTCTTCAGGAAGAATCACTATAATGAGACTGGAAGGTCTTTGGCAGGCACCTGTTTCTTCGATCGACCAGATCATATAATACCACAGACTTTCCCTGTACACAAGTAACTCCACTGATGAATCTTTCTCCTTATTTTTTTATCATCATTCTATCTGACACTAACATGCTAGAGCCATCCTCAAAGTATTGTCATAGAGTCATACACAAAAAACAAAAAGAATGACACATGTGAAATCTCAGTAAGAGAATATCATGCGATATTCCCAATTTAGAAAACGCATTAGACAGAGGAAGAAATCTGTTCCACACAGCTTCACAAGACTCAATGAATCATAACACTGTGGGAAAAATAAAATGATTCTTTTCCTAGGTATTGGCATATTTAACCCGATAAACACAGTTTACAACTGAATATATTAATTGGTTTTCTTTAGGAAAAACAAGGAAAGAGTGCCCCTCGTGGTAATACCACATAAGAGGGGACAGGAGTAAGGAGACTTTCAAACTCAAGATCCTCATTCTCATGGAAATCCACTCAAATCCACTTGTGGAACCTCACTCCTTTCACTGACACCATGGTCAACTCCTGTTGTGGTTCCATCTGCTCTGACCAAGGCCGTGGTCAAGGCCCCTGCCAGGAGACCTGCTGCTGCGGCCCCAGCTGCTGCCAGACCACCTGCTGCAGGACCACCTGCTGCTGCCCTAGCTGCTGTGTGTCCAGCTGCTGTAGGCCCAGCTGCTGCATTACTAGCTGCTGCCGCCCCTCTTGCTGTGGTTCCAGCTGCTCTGGTTCCACCTGCTGCTGCCGCCCCTCCTGCTGCATCTCCAGCTGCTGCTGCCCTAGCTGCTGTGGATCCAGCTGCTGTAGGCCCAGCTGCTGCATTACTAGCTGCTGCTGCCCCCCTTGCTGTGGTTCCAGCTGCTCTGGTTCCACCTGCTGCTGCCGCCCCTCCTGCTGCATCTCCAGCTGCTGTCGTCCTAGCTGCTGTGGATCCAGCTGCAGTGGCTCCAGCTGCAGCTCCTGCTGCCCCCGCACCAGCTGCTGCCTGCGTCCGGCCTGTGGCCAAGTCTCCTGCCACACCATCTGTTATCACCCAACCTGTGTCATCTCCACCTGCCCCCTCCCCATGTGCTGTGCCTCCCCTGACTGCTGAGCCCCCTGCCCAAGGCCCACCTCTTCCTTAACGTCTGTCCCCAAAGATCTAGACCCCACTTTTGTGCTGATCCTTAGGACACATGGAGTGGGGTTAACGTTGCTCAACTAAGTTGGATCTCATGATTTTAATGAGCCTATCACAGGGCCCCTAACTGTGAGCATATACTACAGTCCAGATTCTACAGGTGAATCTCTTCCTCCCATCCACGTGTGAATTTGCATATAATACACCAACTGTTGTACTGACCTGAACAGTTCTTCTCAAATTCTCCTTAACTTTTGGGCACCAGGTCATCAAGCTCAAGGAGCCACAGATTGATTTCTGTATTTCCACCTTATGGACCTCTGTGGTCTCTTAATGATCCAAAGAAGATTCTTTTTATAATTCTTATTACCCAAATTTTACTATGTTATGTGTCTATGCCAAAATAAATCCCCATTTTCCAGTATAGAAATTTCAGTGTGATTGTACTCATTTTTAAGATTTTCTAGTCAGTCTGGACAATTGTATTTTACCTACACCTGTAGGACAATCAAAATGGCTTTGTGAGTTTTTACAGTAGGGGATCAAACCAGATTTGTCACAGCCTAGTTTTCACTAGCAGCTTTCTTAGTTCTCAGACAAGAACTAAATTTCTGAATTTATGAATAAAAAAAAAATTTTTAAAAACTTTTGGAAAGACTTTGAACAATTCATGCTGTATGGGACAGCATTTTTGATATTATACACCTGTGAAAACAGTTTATAGTAACTATAAGGATAATGTAATTGGACGTCTGTAGCTGGGAGCAATTGATGATTTTGAAAAACATAATGAAAGGCTGAAGGTGATAAGTTAGAAATCAAAGGCAAGAGTGAGAGCTGGAGGTTTCCTGGCAGCATCTAAACTCTCATTTCCTGCAGCTAAAGGAAAAATAAAGCTAAGAACCAAGCCTAGCACTTAACAACATAGTAACAGAGCTGCAGAGATTGATGTTCCCTCAGCCTAGGCAGTCCCGCCAAGGCCGAGGCCCTAACTGGAAAAGAATGGGACCTGGAGATATGGGATGGGAGGGATGGGAATGTCTGAGTTGATGCAATTGAAGATCTTGGATTCCCAAATTTCTCTGAACCCTTGGGGGCTTGCAGAGGTAGTGCACTCCTCCCTGTTGAAGTCCAGTAGGACCCCACTTCTTGAAGATGATGTAGCGGCCTCAGTCTTGAAAGGTAACATAGGCTCCCATCGGTATCTTCTCTCACTTCACTTCTTTGCCACCAATAACTAGAGTTGTTATGACGCCCTTCACCCAGCGAGTGGCTGAACCTGCTCGTGAGAGGCTACCCTCCAAAGGATCTGCAGAACTCAAAGATTACTTCGGAGGTAGGGGTGTGATTTTCCATCAGGAGACACATATTGTCCATCCGTCTCTCTTTTTGTGATATCAGCAGCTGTTGGTGATCATTGCCTAGAGCCATATTTCATTAGGTATGACAAAATTGTAATGCTGCAATTCTACGATTTCTTTGCTACCTATTAGCTGGAATAATTCCATAGAGAAACTTCCCCTCATCAATGTTTTGTTATGCTGAGGAACTAGAGAAAAGGCAAAATAAATTTTTGATTCTTTTCCTTTATCTACCAGTTTGTATCACCCAAAGGTGACCAAGGAGATTCTTTCTTTTCTTCTTTTAGTTCCTGTCAGTATCAACTCATGGATTTCGACATACTTGCTGGTGTATCCGTCCACTCCAGCTTATAGCCCACTGATGCTCAAATAAGCAATTTCAAGCTGACCTCTGAGTACTTTTGACATGAATCTAGTTAAACTCCAAAAGTTTTATTGCTTTTTGATATAACGCGTTATTCAAACTCATTTGTGCATTTTCTTTCCCAGACTTATAATCAGCCATTTCTCAAAGAAGCCCAAGTTCCTTTTAGCAGAATATGGTATTTGAGACCATAAATTGAAAAATAAGAATGCTTATTATGACTAAGTTTATTATTTTCTCTCAGCTTTTTCAGTGTCCAGAATAGATAATATTTATTTAAAAGATAAACTACATCATGAGTTTCTACTAAGAACTACAGAGTTTTTACTTAACTTAATATATCTTTCTTACAAATGTCCTTTCTCCGTTGCCAAACATAACAACTCTTCAATGTAATTACTCATTTTTTTAAATTTCATAATGTTTGCACAATTTTGGAATAGCATTGCCAATACTAACAACAATACAGTTACTGAAAACAAACTTGATTGCTTTTCAGGTTTTGAAAAAACTTTTTGGCCTTGGGATAGCTACTTTCTCTGAAGTCATGCACAGATACACTGTTAGGTTCCATTGTTGTCACTGTTGTGGAAGTGGTTTTAATGATCTTGAGAGATTTTTTAAATTTGATTTTTTTTTTCATAATTAAGTAAAATATTTACATGGGTCTAAAGTTAAAGGTACAGAACAAGATAAATTCAAAGAAATCCAGCTTTTACCTTTGTCTTCTCCACACTATTTCCTTCACCCTCTTATGGGTCAACTTTTTAGAAACAAATTATGGTTGATATTTCCATTCTTTTTTCAGTTCACTAAGGTACAATTGATACAATATGCTGCATACACTCAAAGTGTACAGTTTGATGTTCCGATGCATGCATGTACTCATGAAATCAACACCATCATCAAAATAGTAAACATCCTTCACCCCTTTGCAACTCCCATTCCCCACCCCCAGGCAACTACTGATCTGTTGTCACTATAAATGTGCTTGCATTTTCTAGAATTTGATATAAATGGAATCATACATTACGAACTTTATCTTGCCTGGCTTTTCACTCAGCATAATTATATTGAGATTCAAGTTGTCACATTTATCAATAGTTTATTCCTTTTTATTGCTGAGAAGTATTTCTTTGTATGGACATACCACAATTTGTTTATCCATTCACCTGGTGGGTTGTTTCCAGATTTGTATACTACAAACAAAGTTACCACGAGCATTTATCAACAAACCTTTGGACATACGCTTTTATCTCTCTTAAGTAAGTACTTGGAGTGGAATGACCAGGTCATATGGTAGGGATATCTTTAAATCTTTAAGAAACTGTCAAACTGTTTCACAAAGTGGTTGTGCCATTTTATGTCCCCAACCTTGAATGAGAGTTCCAATGGTTTCACATCACCACTTACGTTTGGTATGGACAGTCCTGTCAATTTTAACCATTCCAGAGAGTGTATGGTTTTATCTCATTGTGGTTTTAATTGGCATTTTTCTAATAGTTAATGATGTTGAACATCTTTTAATGGGGTTATTTGCCATCCGTACGTTTTCTTTGGTGTGTGTCTGTTTAAATCTTTTGCCCATTTTTTGTTGGGTTGTTTGTCTTCTGATTATTGAGTGGTAAGAGTTCTTTATATCTTCTGTATGAAAGTCCTTTGTTGTATATATGTTCTGTAAGTATTTTCTCCAAGTTTGTGTCTTACCTTATTTCACAGTGTATATTGAAAAGTAAAAGGTTTTAATTTTGGTAGAGTCCAATTAATTGATTGTTCTGGGATGCAAGTAAGTTACTTAACAGTTTTATCCTTTCTAGACTTGCTTTTTTAAAAATGTTATTATATTGTGGTAAGAACACTTAACATGAGATTTATCCTCTTAAATATTAGGAGTACAATACATTACTGTGGCCAATGGGTACAATGTTGTACAGCAGAGCTATAGAGTTGCTAATCGTATTTAACTGAAAATTTATGCCTATTGATTAACAGACTTGCTTTCAAACTTTGTAGGTGGGGCCAGAGCAACCTTTACTCTCAGGCAAAATTTGTCCCACTCCTGAGGCAGTACTCTTCTGAGTAATCTAACCAATGATCCATATTACAAAGTTTTTCACTTTGGCAGGTGGGAATATGAAGTGTTTCAGGGCCTGAGTCAGCTCCAAGGATTGTTTTCTCCGGCTTTTGTGGGTGTGCCCTTTTATGGGTAACTTCTTCACGCACATGCACTGATCAGTACGCAGCTGAAGAGGGACGCAGGGCTCTCTGTGCAAATCTCCGCTCTAGTGCTCTGCCCTGTGAGCTCTAACCTTCTTGGCCTCCTCCTTCCCAGCTCCATCTTCTCAATGCAGAATGACTACCAGACTCTACCTGGTTCTCCCTCCTACCACTGTACCCTATAAACTCTCTTCAAGAAATAAACTAATATAATCCTAAGGATAACCTCATTTGTTTCCTCTCTCTAAGACAACAGTTATTCTGTCTCTCCTAACAGCCAATGTCTAAAAACCATTGTCTCACTTCTTTTGCCTGTTTTTTTAGTTGTTTCAGACAGGAGTGTAAGTCTAGCCCCGGCTACTCCACCTTGGCTGGAAGTAGAATCCCTCTTTCCTGGGCTGGCCTGGTGGCGCACTGCTACAGTGTGCCACTTGGGAGTGCGGTGGCGCTCCCGTCGAGGGTTCGGATCCCACATACAGACCGGTTCCTGCTCACTGGCTGAGCGAGGTGTGGCACGGCACCGAGGGTTGTGATCCCGTTGCCGGTCCCGGTCCGGTACGGGCGCGACACTGAGGGTTGCGATCCGTTGCTGGACATGAAAAAAAGACAAAAAGGGAAAAAAAAAAAAAAGAATCCCTCTTTCCTGCTTTCTCATCTCTTCTTTCTCTGTTCTTCCATCATTTTTTAAATGTAAGCAAACATAATCTTTATATCTGTATCCTGGGTATTTTAGACACGTTGGAGAACATAATGCACATTTTTCTCCACCTGCTTTATCATCTCTTAACAACAGTCCTGGAGATTACTTCATAGTAACATATAGATACACTCCTTATTTCTTTTTACAGCTGAATAGTATTCCATTATGGGAATGCACCATAATTTATTCAGCAGTACCCTATTGAGGGACACTTGAGTCGTGTCCAGTTTTGTCTTTGTTATTTTGTTTTGTTTCTACAAATAGAACTGCTATGAATAATCTCATGCAGTATCTTTTCATATATTTACTTGAGTATCTTTGGGATAATTTATAGAATTGGGATATCTGGGTAAAAAATAATGCTGCTAGTTATTGTTAAACCCTCACAAAAAAAGTATGAAGATGCCTATTTCCACACCATCTTGCTATCAGAAAATGTCAAATTTTGAATTTTTGACAATCTAACAGATAAGTAGTAGTATCCCATATAATTTTATTTCTCTTATTATGCATGAGATTGGGCATGTTATATGGTGAAGAAATATTTGCATTTTATTTTCCCATAAGCTATTGGTATTTTTTCTAGTCTATTTTTAGAAGTCCTTTATAAACTATTAACACTTTGTGGTTTAAATTGCAAGTATTTTATTTTCATTTAGTCATTTGCATTTTTACTTCATTTATGATGATTTCTTGCCATGCATTTTTAAAATTACAAATGATTGTCTTTTAGCTATCAGGAGGGATTTAATTGCAAAATGTGTGTGTGTGTGTGTGTATTTATAAAACTGAAAAATGTTGAATTGAGAACCCTCTTCAATGATGAAGTCTGCTATTACCTCTGTTCCTGTTTTTGTCACTGGTTCTGTTGACTTCTTTGAAATGTCTATGGCACCAATACCTTCCTTTCCACACTCATTGTCAACAACCTAAATAGGCATTCATCTTTCACCCCCACACTGCAACCACCACCTAAACATTTCTGCTTCCTATAAATCCCCCCACCGCTAGCCAGATAATATTTTCAAGGCCTAGATGTTTGCGCACACCTTTCTTCCCACTGTGCGATGGTATGATATCCGGACTCTTTGTATAAATTCAAGAGTACCCTTAAGTTCTCCTCATTCTATCAGTTGAGTATTATCTTTCTCTACTCCCCTATCTGTACTATCCAGAGAGGTCATTTTCCCCATCATAAGCCAAAATCACATACCCCCATTCAACCATGCCCCCCATTATCTAAATGCTCTTTCTTTTCTTCCCCATCCATCAAGATTACCTATAGAATGTTAAAAGGTGACTAAATGCCCTGTATTTTTAATAAATACCACATTCACTCAACTAAGCTTCACTCTGGGCATTTGCTAGGCACAGTGTTTATAAATATAAATAAGACAGTCTCTAACATTGTAGGGTTTACAGAAGAATTGGGAAAAAAGATGTAAAACAGTTATGATAAAGTGTGATACCTTAGATCAGAGGCATATCTAGGAGCAAAGGGGAGGGAAGAATTCATTTTCAATGTAGTAGATGTTGAGAAAGATGTTAGAAATGAGTAAGTATGTGGATTGGACACTTAAGTGCACGAGCTTGCTGATTTGACAAAGGAGAAAGTAATATTCTAGGCAAATGGAACACTCTAAGAAATGGCCTGTGATTAGTGTTCTTCATGCTTTCCTTGAACATCCCAGGAGAGAACCACCTTCCCTATTTACCATGTGACTTCAATCTATTTGGGTCTCAGCTACCTCATGAGTCAAGAGTTAAGAAAAATTGTGTTTACTTCAGAGAGTTCTTGTGAAATATAAACAACATAATAATTATAAAGAATTCCCAAAATGCCTTACACACAGTGAGCACTCAACAAATTGTAGCCATTAGTATTACCTCATCTTTCATTGGATGTGTACAGATTTAAATACATAATTGTTATTTTGGTCACTAATCACACAATACTCTCAATAATCGCCAAACTCTTTACTACATATATGTATTGTTTGTCCTTTTTAAGTGTCTACAAAACAAAGATTAAAGCTTAACCATTTGTTTCACCTTTGTATCAGACAAAATATCTGCAACAGACATTGCTGAGAGAAAATAGCTCAAAATATGATAAAATGAACTTTTAATAACACTTACATATTCATTGGATATGTTTACTTACCAGAATATAGGTTTAAAAGGTTCTCCTATGATACTCTATTTCTGAAAAACATGCCAATAATAATTTAATAATTTTTAAAAGAACCCATCATGTCGATGTATTTTTACTGTTTAAAAGCTGCAAACCATTACATTATAACTGTTTTAAATCAAAAAGTTTCAATAAGACAAAATAGATAGAAACTTCTCTGGGATCCTTCCCACCTCACAGACCATTCAGAAAATCCAAAGGAATCACTGCACACAAATTACCTCTCCCCTCACCCCTCATTTTATTTTCTTACCAGTATTCTATGACTTGCTTTTAACCTCTTTGATGGCAGAGGAGATTTAGTTATCATAAAATCCATCTTCAACATATTATCCTGGAGTTAAACTCATCAATGAAGAATTAACACTAATGAAACCCAGTGAAACAATGTCATGTAATGAGCCTACTTTAGAAGACACTTCAGACAAAGGAAGAAGAATGAGAGCTGATTCACTTGTCTTAACCAAATTCAATAGCTCCTAATAAAATAGAAAAAGGAAATGATGCCTTTTCTATAAATAGGAATATTTACCAGATAAACACAATTATCTACTTTAACTAAAAACTGATTTCCTATAGTATATACAACAACAAGAAGATCATTCATATGGTCACAGGAGCTCTCAGCAGGGTATAAAAAGCAGGAGAGAGCAACGAGAGACCAAACTCAGAACACTCACTCTCCTGGAAACTCACCCAGAGCCTCCATCCTCTGACACCATGGTCAACTCCTGCTGTGGCTCTAGCTGCTGTGGCTCCAGCAGCTGCTGCCCCTCCTGCTGCAGCCCCTGCTGCTGCCGCCCCAGCTGTTGCATCTCTAGCTGCTGCCGCCCCTCCTGCTGTGGATCCAGCTGCTGTGGTTCCAGCTGCTGCCGCCCCAGCTGCTGCATCTCTAGCTGCTGCCACCCCTCCTGCTGTGGATCCGGCTGCTGTGGTTCCAGCTGCTGCCGCCCCAGCTGCTGCATCTCTAGCTGCTGCCGCCCCAGCTGCTGTGGTTCCAGCTGCTGCCAACCCTCTTGCTGTGGTTCCAGCTGTTGCAGCCCCTCCTGCTGCAGCTCCTGCTGCCCCTGCACCAGCTGCTGCCTGCGACCAGTCTGTGGCCAAGTCTCCTGCCACACCAATTGCTATCGCCCAACCTGTGTCATCTCCACTTGCCCCCGCCCCATGTGCTGTGCCTCCCCTGACTGCTGAGTCTCTGCTTTGAACACATCACTTTCTTATCGCCTCCTTCCCCACAGATGAAGACCCATCTTTAAAAAATGTGGAATGCTCAAGAAATCTCCTATGTCCCATAAACAAACCTCATCATAGCAATTCTGTGTCTGCATTCTAATGTCTGTCCAAAATATCACCCTTCCAAATGAATTCATTGAGAATTTCCTAATAAATTGACAAATTGCCCTCAATATTTGTGATGGTTAATTTTAGGTGTCAACTTGAGTAGTTTAAAGAACACATAGAAATCTGGTTAAGCATTATTTTGGGGTGTATCTATGAGCATGTTTCCAGAAGAGATTAGCATGTAAGCCTGAGAGGATGGGGTAGGAAAGACCTGCCCTTAATATGACTGGGTGCCATTCAATCCATTGGAGGCCCAGAAAGAACAAAGACAGAGGAAAAAGCAAATCTCTCGCTCTATTTCCTCTGGAGCTGGGATACAATCTTCTCTCCTGTCTGTGAACATCTGAACTCCAGACTCTTCAGTCTTTGGGTTCAAGGACTTATACCAGCAGCACCCCGAGTTCTCAGGCCTTTGGCCTCAGACTGAGAATCACACCATTGGCTTCCCTGTTTCTGAGGCTTCTGGACTTGGACTGAGCCATGCTACCAGCATCCAGTTTGCAGACAGCCCATCCTGGACTTCCCAGCCTTCACAATCACATGAGCCAATTCCCCTAAGAATCCCCTGTCAGATACTTATATCCATATCCTATTGTTTCTGTCTCTCTGCAGAATTTTGACTAATACAACATTCCTCGTTCTGTCATCAAGAATTTACCACATCTAAGGAATTTGAAGATTCCTTCCATCACTGGTAGGGCCACTCCTTTGACATTAAAGTCCAGTGAAGACTCTCTCTTATAATCCTTTGTAAAGATGTTTTCATACCTTGTTATTTCCACGCACCAAAATAAACATCTATTCTATTGAAGTTGAAAATTGAATGTGATTGTTACTATCTTTCTTTAAAAAGGTTTTATATTTTGGTCCTGGGTAATAGTATTTTTCCTACACCTGTAGGACAGGCAGCAAACATTAGTTAGACTTCTAACAAAAGTCAAACGACATTAATCACTGCCTACTTTTCTCTAGAAAGTGTTTTTCGTCTTAGGCAAATCAACTAATCATTTTGTATCCTTTAGGGGAAAAAAAAGTGAAACTAATTCATGGAACATCCAGGAATATAATAACAGGGAAAACTGAACACATTTCCTGATCTTTTAAAATAACATCTTTCAGATTTTATTTTCTAGCAATAAAAGAAGCCAATAGATGGTTTAGCAAAATCTATGCATTTTCTACTCAGAGCCACGTTCAGCGAACCTATTCTCCACATATATGGTGGATCTGCATCACTCTGACTGGCAGAACTTCAGCGAGGAGCTTGTCCTGCCATATAGAAAGGCCACCTTCAGGGCTATCCAGGTGATGTAAATGAAGGAAGCAGACCTGGTGAAAGCTCATAGGTATTGCTGGAGAATGTAATGCCCCCTTTTCATCAGGATGAAACAATCATGACCCACATTCCTCTCCTCAGCTAGAAATGCCTCTAATAGATTATCCCATATTCAGAACTCCCCAAAGGGTCAGCTGAGACTTTCAGTAAGACTGCCCCAAGTGTGATTTCTCAAGCATCCAATCCTGCTTCCTTCCCTTCCATTCCACAAGTGTAAATCCTAAGATACTCCTCAATAAAACCTACTGCATGCTAATCTCCATCTCAGCATCTGCTTCCTAGGGATCCCAACCTGTCCCAAAACCAATTTGAAATTTATGATAGCTAATTTGAGAGTTGAAATATTGTCTAAAATGTAATTTTAATCTTTTAGTGCAAAATAGAAATAGGAATGTAAACATAATAGCAGAAGACATTTAATGGACTCTATGGAGGAAATTGTTAATTTCATATAAACCACATTTTATATGAATTTACATATCAATTATACACAAATACATGCTCTTTAAAAATTTAAACAACACAAAAGAATGTGACCAAAGGTAAGTTTTCCTTTACCAATCTTTGCCAATCCCATTCAAGACCCATTGTTATAAACAGAGATCCAACTTTATTAAATGCATTTGTACTACATGTATATATTTATTCACAAACCTGGCTTTCGAGAAGAATGTATATTCTATAGTTGTTGGATGAAATGTTCTGTAGATATCTGCCATGTCCATCTGTCTGTGTCTTTTAAGTGGAGAGTTAAATCCATTCGCACTTAGGGTTGCTATTGAAAGTTATTAACTAACTCCTGGCATTTTATCCCTTTTGTTTAGATTTTTTTTTTTAATTTAACACTATTTTATTGGCCTTTCTGTGGGAACTATATACAACAGCAGTGTATTTGGAGGTAGTAAACCATTATAAATGCTAAAGGAATTACGGAAAAAAAGAAAATCAATGAGAAGCATTAAAAGTATCTTATCTAATTTCATTTTATTTTATTTTTTATTGATTATGCACATTCATGGGGTATAAAGCTGTCTGGCCTGTCAATACCTGTGCCCAGGATGTGATGGTCAGATTAATAGTATCAGCATGCCCATTACTACAAATTGTGATTATTCCCCATGTCCCCCACCCAATAAATCCTCCTTCCTCCCCCTGGCAATCCTATGTATGCCCTGTCCCTCTGCAAGTCCCACACATCACTGCAGTCTTTCTTTCCTTTCTTCTTTCTCTCCTAGGTCCCACTAATGAGTGAGAACATGTGATATTTTTCCCTCAGTGCTGCTTGGCTTATTTCACTTAACATAATTTCCTCCAAGCTCTTCCACGTTGCTGCAAATGGCAGAATTTTATTCTTTTTTATGGCTAAGTAGTATTCCATTGTGTATATATACCACATTTTCCTTATCCAGTTGTCCATCAATGGACATTTAGGTTGCTTCAATATCTTCGCTGTTGTAAATAGAGCTGTGATGAACATGGGAGTGCAGGTGTCCCTTCAACATGATGATTTCCATTCCTTTGGGTATATACCTAGAAGTGGGATTGCTGGATCATAGGGTAGATCTATCTGTAGTTTTCTGTAGTTACTTGAGAAATCTCCACACTGTTTTCCATAGATGTTTTAAATATCTTTTGTTTCTTTCTTCCCCTTTTATTATTCATCTTCAATGTTGTTGGTTTTTTGAGGTGATAAGATTTAGTTTCTTTCTCTTTTTCATTCGCATTTTTGTTTTACCAGTGGGTTTTGTTCTTTCTTGTATATTTGTGATAGTGACTATCATTTTTTGGATTCTAGATACAGGACTCCCTTGAGAATTTCATGTGGGGCTGGTAGTGTGGTGGTGAACTCCCACAGTTTTTGTTTTTCTGAAAAATACATTATTTCTTCTTCATTTCTGAAGGATAGCCTTACTGGGTAAAGTATTCTTCACTGGCAGTTTTTTTATATTGGTATTTTGAATATATCATCCCATTTTCCTCTGGACTATAGAGTTTCAGTTGAGAAGTCTGTTGTTACTTTGATGGATGTTCCCTTACAGGTGACTTGATGCTTTTCTCTTGCTGCTTTTAGAATTCTTTGTCTTTGAGCTTTGACAGTTTGATTATAATGTGTCTCAGAGAGGATCTTTTTGGATTGAATCTGTTTGGTAATCTTTGAGCTTCCTGGATCTGAATATCTGTGTCTTTCCCTATATCTGGGAATTTTTCTGTTATTATTTCATTGAATAGGTTTTTAATGCCTTTTCCTTTCTCCTCCTCTTCTGGAACACCAATGATTCAGAAATTTGTGAGTTTAAGGTTGTCTGCTAGATCTCCTAAATTTTCTTCATTTTTTGAAATTCTTTTTTCCTTTTTTTTTTTTTTTTTTTTTGGTCCACCTGTGTTATTTCAAAAAGACCAACTTTTTTTTTTTTCTTTTACTTTTTTGACGGGTAGGGGGATCGCAACCCTTGGCCCGGTGTGGTCCGCACCATGCTCAGCCAGTGAGCGCACCGGCCATCCCCATATAGGATCCGAACCCACGGCCTCGGCGCTACCAGCACCGCACTCCCCTGGGTGAACCACAGGGCCGGCCCCAAAAAGACCAACTTTGAGATCTGAAATTCTTTATTCTGCTTGCTGTAACCTACTGCTTAAGCTCTTGTTGTGTATTGTATTTCATTGAATGAATCCTCCAGTTCCAGGAGTTCTGCTACATTCTTTTATAAAGTGTTAATTTCTTTGTAGATTTCCTCCTTTACACCCTGGATATTTTTTCATATTTCAGTGTATTCTCTAATTGAGTTTTCTCTTATCTCTTTGAGTTTTCTTAAGATTATTGCTTGGAATTCCTTTTCAGTCATTTCAAGCATTTTCTGCTCTATGGAGTCTGTCACCTGAGAATTACTGTATTCTTTTGGTGGTGTCATATTTTCTTGTTTATTTATATTTCTAGCATCTCTATATTGAGGTCTGGTCATTTGGTAGAGCAGTTGCTTCTTCTGTTACTCTGGATTAGGTTTTGAGGAGAAACACTTCCTCTCCTTTTTGTAGGCTCCATGGCGACTCTCCTCGTGTCAGTGTAGTCAAGTGTACAGCAGGCTGCCTGCAGTGTGGTTCTGGCTGCTACTGTGGCCTTGAGTAGTCCTTGCAGTAGCAGTAGCTGTGGTGGCTGTGGTGGACCACCCACACAGAAGCAGTGTTTGTGGCACCCCTCCAGGCCTTCTGCCTTGGTCTCTGGTCTTGGGTCACACTCTTACTTTCTGTTTGGGTTTTGGAGGAGGGCTCTATAAGTAGAATATTAACTTTCACAGCTTCCTCTATATGTTATTTATCAGTCAACATGTTACCTACCACATAAATTAATGTTCTTTTCTTCAAATGGAACCATGATCCCGTGTTTAGAATGTTTCCCCTTCTTTTCTCCAGTAATCAAAAGATACATATTGTTAAAGAACCATTACATGTCCCTATATCATCAAAAATTCTTCATTTACTCAACAAACATTTATCACCAATGTCCTCTGTTTGCACACAGATAACAAAAATAAATGCCATAGCCCATGCCTTCGGGGTGTTTGCACTATACCTGGAGGAATAAAAGAAGTGAATAACTATGGTGCAGTATAGTGTGTTAAATTAGAAGCACAACACAGGGAATACCTATATATAAATGGTGTAGTTTCTCAGGAAGGATATCATTGAGGGGGAAGCATTTCAAATGGGTCTTGACAGATGTGTAGGAGTTTGCAGAGCTGACAAGCAAGAAGAGACATTCTAGGAATGTGAAACAGCTTCAGCAAAGGCTTGCAAGTTCTATTCTCTGTCCCTCCCTTGGCTACTCTAAGACGTATTAACCTTACTTTCTGTTTAATCTCAGACAAGGTTTTGGGTTGTTTGTTTTAATCTCTCTATGCTTCTTTTGACTCTCCCAATAAAAGAGAAATAAGAATAAATACACTACTTTGTAGGGTTGCATTAGAGATTAAAACAAAATAAATGTAAGATATTCAGCACAATGCCTGGTACATAGTGAACACTCCAAATGACATATATACACTGAGGGCATATGAAATTTATACACATACTTTAAATTTTGATTTTAGTAGTTTAATTAAAGTAATTACAATTAATTTAAATTTTTCCAAACTTTCTTTTCTATGCATATGTCTTGTCAAGTACATATAAGAGAGAGATGAGGGTTTATCTATTCTATACCCAGAATAACCAACAGAATGTTTTGGATACACATTATTGAAGGCTTAGTAATTTTAAATATTATTTATATAAAACAAATGCTTCTGAAAATGAAAAATCCATTGTGCAATTTTGACAATCAAAAGGTAAATCAAAACTTCCCTCTCTTAATGCCTATCATGGAAGACATACAGCAAAAAATGTGTTTTTACTATTCAAAAGTAGTGAGTCATTGCTAAGTGCTTCAGCTTGAGACTGAGGAATAAGATCAGACATAGAATTTAGAACTTTCCTGGGGTCTAATCATCACCTCACCATTCCAAGATGCCCATATAGGATCATAGTCATCCTCATAAGTGGGACATCCTCCCCCAAATTTCCTTCTCATTTTTTCCAGTATTTCACCTACCAGAACATTCTTTGAAAACAAACAACACATTAGCACTGTGAAAACCATCCTTCATGATTTGCAGGGAGCAATGTACAGATGGAAAGGAATGTCACATTCAAAAACAAAATGTCAGAATCATGTGACTAGTGGTTTGTTTTGTAAAATACTCTGTGTAGGCCAGGAACAAAAGTGACAGCCACTAAGTGATAAGTATTTTTCACTGGAAACACAGGAGCACACCAGGAAAAGGAACAGTGCTCTTTTCTCTATTTTGGATTACTTAACTAGAAACACACAATTATGTAATTAAATGATATGGTTTTCTGGTAAGGTAAATAATAACAAGGAAATAATGATGTGATGACAACAGGTCCTCAGCAGAGTATAAAAGGGGTTATTGGCCAAGGAAACCTCCAAACCCAAGAACTTCACTCTCCTGGAAACTCACCCAGAGCCTCCATCCTCTAACACCATGGTCAACTCCTGCTGTGGCTCTAGCTGCTGTGGCTCCAGCTGCTGCCGTCCCAGCTGCTGTATCTCCAGCTGCTGCCGCCCTTCCTGCTGTGGACCCAGCTGCTGTGGTTCCAGCTGCTGCCGCCCCAGCTGCTGTATCTCCAGCTGCTGCCGCCCTTCCTGCTGTGGACCCAGCTGCTGTGGTTCCAGCTGCTGCCGCCCCAGCTGCTGTATCTCCAGCTGCTGCCGCCCTTCCTGCTGTGGACCCAGCTGCTGTGGTTCCAGCTGCTGCCGCCCCAGCTGCTGTATCTCCAGCTGCTGCCGCCCTTCCTGCTGTGGACCCAGCTGCTGTGGTTCCAGCTGCTGCCGCCCCAGCTGCTGTATCTCCAGCTGCTGCCGCCCTTCCTGCTGTGGACCCAGCTGCTGTGGTTCCAGCTGCTGCCGCCCCAGCTGCTGCATCTCCAGCTGCTGCCGCCCTTCCTGCTGTGGTTCCAGCTGCTGCCGCCCTTCCTGCTGTAGTCCCAGCTGCTGTGGTTCCAGCTGCTGCCGCCCCAGCTGCTGTATCTCTAGTTGCTGCCACCCCTCTTGCTGTGGTTCCAGCTGTTGCAGCCCCTCCTGCTGCAGCTCCTGCTGCCCCTGCACCAGCTGCTGCCTGCGTCCGGTCTGTGGCCAAGTCTCCTGCCACACCAACTGCTATCGTCCAACCTGTGTCATCTCCACCTGCCCCCGCCCCATGTGCTGTGCTTCCCCTGACTGCTGAGCCCCCTGCCCTAGGCCCACTTCTTCCTTCACCTCTGTCTCCACAGACCTAGATCTTTCTTTTGTGCAGTACCTTAGAATGCATGAAATCTGTTGACTCCAGTGAGCCCACCACCACCTACTGACTGTGAGCACATTCTGGTTCATTTTAAACTCTCTCCCTTGCTGTCTTTTGTTTCCAATGTTGGTACCAAATGTAAATTAATTTGTAATCTACCAGCTAAGAAATTATCCCTATTGTCTAAATTTTTTATTTTTCTTATTATTTGGGGGATCTAGATTATTTTTCTGAACAAGGTAGACATTATCTGCAGCCTATGTATTGGCACTGATTTTACACGCTCATACCTGAGGGCTCATTTGTACCCTGTATATTCTCCTGGAGTAAATTCCTTATGTTCTGTTGCTTCTCTGCTTTCTAATAAACTTTTCTGCACATAAGAATTCATTGGCTTTATTCTCTATTGATTTCACAATCATTTTATTCAGTTACCAAGCAATTATATTTTGCATAAAGACACAGGAGGAACAACCCATGCTGAGATCAATTTGAAAATAAATGCTTTATCAAATATAGATAATTCAAGATGTTAGAACAAAAGCAGTGTGTGAATGTGTGTGTGCATGCACGCATGTGAATGTGTCTTAATATCCTAAATTAGGACAGATTTAATTTATGTCTTAGCTCTTAATTAAAACACATCCACCCTTAACACATTATACCTCATAATATCATTGGCCCTATTTTGGAGAAAAGGGTAAAACCAAATTTCTGAAAAAAAAAAAGTACGTGCTAATGAAAGAAAGAAATCTCCTGCAAAGAAGTCAAAGTACTCAATTCATTATATTCAATAAACAACATTTCAGAATTTATAATCACAAAGTGGGTTATATGTCCCACTGAGTTCTGCTGAGAAGAAATGCATATTTCATTGTATTTTTAAGGAAACATGCCTCAGCTAGATGGTGTGGTATGTCTCTGAGTGTGGTCTCTCAGGATTTTCCTTATAATTCAAACATCTCCACACTTAACATTCTAATGTATATTGATTCTGGAAGGCTGAAATTTCAAAACTAATTCTCTCTTTCTAAGTATTTCTAAGTATTGAAACTAGTTCATACCACTGAGTAGCTTTCAGCTGGGGTGTATATCAGAATTGGAATCTCCAGCAGTGGTGCCTGCATTTGAATTTGAAAATACACTACATATCTTGGCTATTGTAAATAGAGCTGCAGTGAACACGGAAGTGCAGGTATTCCTTCCACAGGATGATCTTAATTCTTTTGGGTATATACCCAGCAGTGGGATTGCTGGATTATATGGCTGGTCTATCTGTAGTTGTTTGAGAAATCTCCATACTGTTTTCCATAGTGGTTTTACTAATTTACAGTCCCACCGACAGTGTAAGAGCATTCCCTTCTCTCCACATCCTCACCATCATTTGTTATTCTCCATCTTTCTGATAATAGCCAGTCTAACTGGGGTGAGGTGATATCTCAATATGGTTTTAATTTGCATTTCCCTGATGAAATGTCCATCCACAGATGAGTGGATAAGGAAAATGTGATATATATATACACAATGGAATACTACTCTGCAATAAAAAAGAATGAAATTAATTCTGCCATTTACAGCAATGTGGATGAGCTTGCAGAAAATTATGTTGAGTGAAATAAGCCAGGTACAGACAGAAAAATACTATATGTCCTCACTCATAAGAGGGAGCTAAGAGAGAAAGAAGGAAGGAAAGAATGACCACAGTGGTGCATTGGACTTGCAGAGGGAGAGAACACACCTAGGGTTGCAGAGGGGAAAGGGGGAAGGGAGGGGGGTCGGGGATTAACTGGGTTTGGGACATGGGGAATAATCACAATGTGTGGTAATGGGTATGCTGATGGGTATTGATCCAGTCATCACATCTTGGGCACAAGTGGTGATGGTCAGCTTTGTACCCCATGAATAGTCATAACCAATAAAAAAAACTAAAAATATTTTTTTTAAAAAGAAAATACATTAAAGGTGATTATGACATGGCCCTTGGGTAGGAGCGTCTGCTCTTGATGTTTGTACTTACACTGAGATTACACTATTACTGGGCTCTGAAATGGCCCTAAGCTATTGCACCAATCAGATTTAAGATTGTTTGTGCAGACATCACTGGTACACATCACATCCTAATCATTGAGTTATGACATCTCCTTGAAATAATAAAATTCCCTAATTATATTTGTAATCGGCCTTATTTGAATCAAGAGGGAATACAGAAGGATGAAACATACTTTAAATTTGACACAGAAGTGTTAAGAGTAGTATCAGATATCATAAGTTCTAATATTCTGAGTAAATTTATGAACCATAATATTCGGTGTTTTACATATCCAAACTTTTCTGTTTATCAAATGAAAAAATGAAAAGCTTGTATTTTATTTTATTTTGTCTCTGGCATTGGAGCAGGTTAGCATTATGAGTTCATACTTGAATCCATACTTTGGAATCATCCTTTGGGACTTCCCTTCTATTGCATTCCCATCTCCCCTCATCAATCAGTAAAGCCAATGCAGAAAGGAAATGTATTAGCTCTCTGTTGCTTACAACAGAATACCTGAAACTGGATAATTTGTAAAGAAATAACATTAATTTCTTACAGATTTGTAGGTTGAGAAGTCCAAGGTCAAGAGGGTGCATCTAGTGAGGGCTATTGAAAAATAAGTCCATAATATACAACAGCTTTGAAATCTAAGTGGAGGCTGCCATGGACTCACAGCTTATGCATTCTACACAGCTGCAGAATCAGCACCATGCAGATGCTGCCAAGGCTTATTTGTTAGGGTCCTCTAGAGAACCAATAGCATTTATAAGTAAATATACATACAAGTATACACACAGAGATATATATAAAGAGATTTATTTTAAGGAATTGGCTTACATGGTTATGGAGGCATGGACTCCCAAAATCTGCAGTCAGCAAGCTGGAGACCAGGACAGTTGATAGTGTAGTTTCAGTCCAAAAGTCATCAGTCTCAAGCCCCAAAAAGAGCCAATGCTTTATTCACTCTGTGTCCAAAGGCAGGGAAATACTGATGTCAAGGCAGTCAGGCAGGAGCAATTCCCTTTTACTCAAACTGTTTTGCTCTATTAAGTTCCGTGGGCCCCTAGGCTGTCCAAAACACACTTTGAAATCTAAGTGGAGGCTGCCATGGACTCACAGCTTATGCATTCTACACAGCTGCAGAATCAGCACCATGCAGATGCTGCCAAGGCTTACCACTTGCGCCCTCTGGAGTGACAGTACTAGGTGCACCTGGGCCCTCTTGAGTCACAGCTGGGGCAGCCAAGAGGCACTGCACTAGAATGTGGGAGCAGAGATTTGAGACAGCCCTGGGCAGCAAGACCTTTCTGCCCTTAAAACCCTAACATTCTCAACCCATGATGAGAGGAGCAGCTCAAAGATCTCGAAAATACCTCAGCATCATTCTCCCATTGTCATGATGAATAACACCTGGCTTCCTTCTATCCACATTAATACCTTATCAAAGAGTTGTTTGGACATACACTTTTTTTCTTTACATGGCCCGGCTGTGAATTTTCCAAATCTTTACATTCTTTTTCACTTTCAATTATAAATTCTGTCTTTAAATCATTTATCTCCTCTTGCATGTTACTATACACAGTTAAAAGAAGCCATGTACCTCCTTCAACATTTTGCTTAGAAATTTCTTCCACCAGATATTCTAGTTCATCAGTCTTAAATTCTACCCTTCATAATGCCCTTGGGCATGGACAAAATTGAGCCAAATTCTTTGCCACTCTGTAACAAGGATGGCCTTTATTCTCATTTCCAATACTTTGCTCCATATTTCCATCTGAGACCTCCTCAGAATAGTCTTAATTGTTCTTATTTCTACCAGCATTCTGGTCATGACCACTTAAGCCATCTCTAAGATTCAGACTTTTCTTACAGCTGAGCCCTCCCCAAAATTGCCCTTTATGTTTTGTTCACAGCATTACAATAGTACGCCCTTATCTGTGGTCTCATTTTCCATAGTTTCAGTTATCCAGGTTCAAAAATATTAAGTGAAAAATTATAAAAATAAACAGTTCGCAAGTTTCGAATTGCACATCATTCTCAGCAACCTGGTGAAATCTCATGCCCAGGACATGAATTTATCCCTTCGTCCTGTATATCCACTCTGTATATACTACACACCTGTTAACTTAGTAGCCATCTCAATGATCATATTGACCATCCCATTACCAAAGTGCCTGAGTTCAGGTAACCCCTTTTTTACTTAATAATGGCCCTAAAGTGCAAGAGTAGTAATTCTGGCAATTTGGATATGACAAAGAGAAGCCATAAAGTGCTTCTTTTAAGAGAAAAGGGGAAAGTTTTTGACATAATAATGAAAGAGAAAAAAATTGTATGCTGTAGTTGCTAACATCTATGGTATAAACGAATCTTTTTTCCATGAAATTATGAGAAAAAAAATGTTAGTTTTGCTGTCATGCTTAAACCTTATGATGGGTATGTATGTATAAGAAAAAAACACAGTACATATATGGTTCGGTAATTTTTGCAGTTTCAGGCATCTGGTGGTGGTCTTGAAATTGCACCCCCCTCAGATAAGGGGGTACTACTGCATACTGAAATTGCACTAATTCAAAAAACAAGAAGGCAGGCTAAACTAATTTGGTTGGCTAGAACTTTTTTTTTTTTTCCTTTTTGTCTTTTTTCATGACCGGCAATGGGATCGCAACCCTCGGTGTTGCTCTCGCACCTCGCTCAGCCAGTGAGTGGCCGGTCTGTATGTGGGATCCGAACCCTCGGCGGGAGTGCCGCTGCACTTCCCAAGCGGCGCACTGTAGCAGTGCGCCACCGGGCCGGTCCCAGGTTGGCTAGAACTTTTTAAAGAATGTCATTTAGCTTCTTTAAGCATAATTAAGAATCGTAGGCAAAGAATGTTTTTAAGGGATGAGGTTCAAGGCTTAGGTACAGAGTAATATAATTCACTTGTAATTAGCATGAAGTCAATCCATACTGAGTAAAATATATATTCTGTAATTATATACTTACCTTCTCAATTTTCCTTACAATCATTTTTTAGAAGATGTCAAATTTCACATGGGTACAGGCCAAGAAAAATTAGTCTGCACATGTCCCAAATGGGATGTGTCCAAATTAATGAGATTTTGTTGTATGATTGTCATAGCAAGAGATTTAAAGGGTGTGGGAGACATTCAGGACATTGTACTAATCCTTGTTGGGGCAATAATACATTACTTGATAATATGTCAACCAAGTGATGGATTATTGCCCCAGCACACAACACTCCCAGGAATATATAATGCCCTGAGAATAGAA